TTAAAAATTGCTGTGCAAGCAAGCAGCAGCATTAATATGCCTGAGCAGACAGGGCAAGTTTTCAACTGGGAAAAGGTGGAACTGCTGGGCATTCATTTGCCAAGAGGCATGTGTGGGGTGGAAATTAGCCAGGAGACCAACTCTTCCAAGTCTAGCTCGCCATGCACATCCAGAAAGCAGCGTGGAGACAGGTCAGAAGAGAGAGGCCCATGCTGGAACTCCATCAGGTTTCCCGTTTGGAGACTGTGCTAGTTCATATCAACCAGACACAAGCTGAGGTCACCCGAGAGGAAGGAACCTCATTGAGAAACCATAGATCAAGCTGTAGGCAAGCCTGTAGGGCATTTTCTTAATTAGTGATTGATGGGAGGGGAGACTGCTTGTGTAAGAGGTGATACCCCTGGGCTGGAGGTCCTGGGTTCTATAAGAAAGCAGGCTGAGCATGCCCTAAGGAGCTAGCCAGTAAGCAGGACCCCTCTGTTGCCTCTGCATCAGCTCTGGCCTCCATGCTCCTGTTCTGACCCTTGAGAATAAACAGTGATGTGGAAGTTTAAGCCAAATTAACCCTTTCCTCTCCAAGTTGCATTTGGTCATGGTGTTTCATCACAGTAATAGTAACCCTAACTAAGACAGAGGCAGATATTTTGTTGCTGTTGCTTAGGGTTTTTTGTTGTTGTTGTTTTTGTTTTTTGTAGTTTGGGATTTATTTGTTGTTGTTTTAGTATCTTTAGTATCTTGTTATGTAGCCCACTTGGGACCTCAGTGTCTTCCCGCCTCAGCCTCAGGTGCTGTGATGTGGGAGTGTCATATATCAATCTGTTGATTTCATTGGTTAAGTAATAAACAAACTGCTTGGGCTCATAGCTTAGAACATAGGTGGGTGGAGTAAACAGAACAGAATGCTGGGAGGAAGAGGAAGTGAGGTAAGAGGCCTCAGACAGAGACGCCATGCTCCGCTCTCCCAGGCAGACGCAATTAAGCTCCGACCCAGGATGGGCATAGGCTAGAATCTTCCCGGTAAGCGCACCTTGGGGTGCAACACAGATGATTAGAAATGGGCTAAATTAATATGTGAGAATTAGCCTAAAGAGGCTAGATAGAAATGGGCCAAGCAGTGTTTAAATGAATACAGTTTGTGTGTTGTTATTTCGGGCATAAGCTAGCAGGCGGCTGGGGTGCTGGGGACGCAGCCCCGCCGCTCTTATTACTAGAACAGTGCTGGGATGAGAGTCACATGCCTCCCCATTCAGATGGCTTGTTGGCTTTTAAAGCTATGTTTGGGTGTTCATGCTTCAAGAGCACACCTCCAGTCACGCACAGTGTCTGTTTCACACTTTTATGGACATGCTGGAGACCTTGCACAGCGACCCTGCAAGAGCCAGTGTGGCTAACTATCCCTAAAGTCACTATGGTTGATGACGGTGCAACAGTTCTATTGCCATCCCTGTACCAGGCCTCAAAACTGGCCCCTTTGCCCTCAGCGCCCTTCCTCGGCCCTACCAGAGAAGGGACCATGGAGACCCAGGGACCCGGTCACCTTGTGTTCCTTCTCTGACTTGCCTCTCCCCAGTGCTGCTGCATGGAGCTTTTCTGAATCTCAAACATCCCTGCATCTGTTATGTGCAACTGAAAGACACACAGACAGATGGTGAGGACAGAAGTCTACAGAGCTTTGCTCAGCTGCAGGTACTGAGTTAGCCTTAGACTTTCCAAGTGGAATCAGCCACTCTGCAGAAGCTCTGACCCCAAGGAAGTTTCCAGAAGCCTTGGGATTGGCTCTGACACTCCGGGGCTTAAAGGACAGCTCTGAAGAGCACAGAGACAACACTTCTAGGGAGAATGCCCTTCATCGTTGACCTTGATTTCTGCAGTCAAGCACGCCTGTGAGTGAGGAGAGGAAGGGCACTGAGTGCCCCAGGAGGGACGGCCTCCCCAGACTGGCAGCTCCTTCTGCCCGCGTCCCTGCCTGTCTTCCTCTTCTCCCTCATTCCTGCAATTCTCACTAGGAGGACGGAGCTGGGTAGAGCTGCAGCCAGGAAGGCTCTTCTGCATTGCGGCTCTGAGCTGTGTGAGACAAAGAGAGAGATTGCCACCTATTGACAGACACGTCACCTGCAAAGAGAAGGCTTGTGCAACTGGGGCCCCTCCCCCCATCGCTGTGCTCTGTCAGAGGCCCTCCAGGGACTGTGGGGGGGGGGGGCAGCTTTGTATTTTCCATCCTGCCGGTCTTGCCCTCAGCAGTACCTTCCACAGTAAGTGAGGACAGGGAAGCGTGGGGCAGTGACAGCAGTGCAGCTGGAAAACTGAAAATAAACCACCCACTGTAGTGACAGCCACTTCCTGTTGCGTAGCACACAGCCTGTCCCTTTTAATTCTCAACGCAGTTCCAACCATCAGTGTTGCGTGTTTGCACCCAAGGAGACAGGTTTCAAGAGACTGCCCTGCTCATGACCATGACCGCGGCAGATACGGAAGAGCGTTGGATATAAGAGTCGGGTATCGGATCTCAATGCCTAATGCACTCAGTCTCCTCACACCTCCTATTGTAGCACCCATATTCCTACTCTAAATTCCCTAACCAAGTCATATGGATGTAAAAATAAACCAAACATGGAAGAATTGCTTCCCTTTGGTTGGAGGAAGATCCACCTCGGTTGCTTTTTGTTCCTGGGCCTCTAAGGTCAGCTTCCTCACCTGTAAAATGGGATGACATAACATCAGGATTAGGGACTTACAGAGCTTAAGTAGCATCACCAGTACTTGGGCACGTTGCAGGATGCCAGGTGTTTGTGAATGGGCGATTAGGCACCCGTGCGCTGAATACAGGGTCCTCTCTTTTTGGTTTTAGGACCTTAGGCAAATTATTTGAACTTTTGGAGCCTCAATTTCCTCATTTGTAAAATGGGACTAATAATAGCCATGCAATAAGTATGCAATGTGTATGGAAACATTTTTGCAAGTTTTGATTTCCCTCTTCAAATATTAGTTGTTAGGCTGTAAGGAAAAAGTATTCTCCAAATGTAGCTTTGAGAATTGCTTCTGCAAACGACTTGGGTTGAATTCAGGCTCCACAGATCAGCTTTTATTTGTATTATTCACCAAAAAAGCAGTGAGGTGAGATAACTCAGTGGGTAAAGGCACTTGTGGCCAAGCCTGACAACTGAGTTTGATCCCTGGGACTCGCCAGATGGAGAGAGAGACCCCACTCCTGTAAGTTGTCTTATGACTTCCACACATACCCTGGCAGGTGCACCCTCCAGGACACAACAGATACACAGTAACCATACACACGAGACAAAGTGCTCTGAACGCTGCTGGTCTTCTAAGCTGTTCCCATTGATCACACTTTTTTATACTGTATTTACTCCTGTTTTGCAGATGAGGAAATAAGTGGCTAGAAGAATCAGGGGGACTAATTTGGGACATGCGGGGAACACTTCGAGTGCAGACACATGCCCAAGCTCTGCCTTGTGCGTTTGTGTATAGTGCTCATTTCGTGGACCCACGGGTTAGAGTCAGGGAAGGGAAGAGGCACCCGAGTTATTTTACAACAAGCAGCAATCGCTCTTCTTCTCCCTTCTAGCTTTGCTTTATGCTCCGAGGTCCAGCGCCCACAAAACGTCTGGATTTTTATCTACCCCACTCCCCACCCCACCCCGTTTAGGAAACAGACATCTAAGTCCATTCTTCCAACCTTTGAGAATTACTTCCTCTTTTCTTCACTGTTTGCCAGCTTTTTTGAATTCTCCTTAGCAACATAAAAAGGAGGGGAGAGTTTAGCAACAGCATGTAAACCAATGAGATGTGAAAATGCAAATGAGCTATAGACCAATGAGAACCCTGCATGGCTGGCAAGCTGGCTTATGGGAGAAAAGAAAAGCCTGGAGTTTGCAAAGTAGCCTCCAGGTGGCAGCAGAGCAGTTATTTTGGACCTGTCTCACGGCTCTCAAACCTCTACTGTTTTGGGGTTTTGTTTTGGTTTGTTTTTGACCTGTTCTTGGTTCCCCGGTTAAGATATATTCTGCTACAGACTTGAGGATTTGAGTCCTTTAGATAACACGGTAGGCGTGGGCTAGAAGCGTGGACTTTGTCTTAACCCCAATCATTCGTAGGCTTTTTCCATCTTTGTTTTGTAGCCAGCTCCAGCCCAGCAGGCTTAGGCGGGGAAGCCTGTAGCAAATCCCGTTTTCTGTTCAGACACCACTGTAGGGTGAGTGGTGAAAGTGGGAAGGCTGGCCCTCTACCACCAGGGAAAGGAAGTAAAAGAATATGCCACCAACAAATCGTGCCTATCAAAGCTCCCATTTTCATGGGGCATACAGACCTTCCTTTCCTTGGAGTTCTGTTACATCTGTCTGAACAGCAAGAGGCTGTGGGCTCTTCTGCTCTCCTTGGGTTGCTTTGGTCCTCTTTGTATTGTAGCCTGAGCATGCACAGTGGCTGAATATCAAACAATAGCATGTCCACATTTTAGCCATCCTTCTCCTGCCCCTTGAAATGGTATTGCTGTGAACACCTCTTGGTGTTCGGATGTCTGAATGCATCTTCAGTGTTGCCATTTCTTCCTGGCTAGGTCTTCTCATCCTTAAAGATGGAATCTTCAGAAAGTCTCTCCCTATTCTCCCGTACACAGTTGCTCCCTGGAGCTCCCACTGTGACATTTCCATATTTGTGTCCTAAGTGCTTCCTCTCTGGGAGCCACAGAGCTCAGGAGACCAAAGCCCTTTGTGTCTCAGCCCTGGCACAGTGCGAGCTTTATCACAAAATGCACAGTGCATTTTTTTTAAATGAGGAAGAAAGCAAGAAAGTCATTCTTGCTTTGCTTTTAGAAGAACAATCTGGGGTTCCCAAACCTGAGCCGGAACAATGCCTATGATGTTGGTGCGGGTTAGTGGAGGACAACGTCAGGGAGACAAGCCTGAAAGGTCGTGGCCAACGTTGTTTCATCCCGTAGAGGGCTTGTCTCAGTAATACGGCTCCCTTTATGATTTGTGTTTTAGGAAGAACCAAGGAGCAAATCCAAGATCTGCGCCAATGTGTTCTGTGGAGCTGGCCGGGAGTGTGCAGTCACAGAGAAGGGGGAGCCCACGTGCCTCTGCATTGAGGTAGGTCCTGATGGCGGCTGTGGGGGGCAGCGACTGGAAGGTTCCAGGAATCCCATCATTTCTATAAACGCGCAACTTGTCTGTTCTAAAGACACAAGGAAGATTTCCCCTAGGGCTAAGAGTGAAACTTCTGGTTTTTAAATTAAATTTTAAAAGAGATAGCATTTCATATATTTTTTTAAAAAAAAAAGTTTAGGGAGGCTAGGGAGCTAGCTTAGCAGGAAACATGCTTGCTGTATTATGTTCAGAGCCTCGGGACCTACACAGATCTCCGGGGTGGCAGCAGCAGTCTGTGACCCCAGCACTGGAGGACCTTGGGACCTACACAGATGCCTGGTATAGCAGCAGCAGTCTGTGACCCCAGCACTGGAGGCAAGGGGCAAATCCATAGAGAGCATTGACCGGTCGGTCATTCTAGCCAAATCATGAGCTCCAGGCATAGTGAGAACTCTGTCTCAGAAAATCATCCAGAGAACCAAGAACGATACTCAATGTGGCCCTCTGGCCGATATACGTGTGTGTGTGCGCGTGTGCGCGCATGTGTGCGTGTGTGTGTGTATGTGTGTGCATGTTTGCACATATGATACATATATCTGGAATTGGAACCACTTTAGATGTCTTCAGCAGATGAACAGATGCTGAAAATGTGGTCCATATCCACAATGAGACATTATTCAGCTGTAAAGAAAAAATTGTGTTTGTAGAAAATAGGTGGACCTGGAAGGTGATATTTAAGAGAGGTGACACAAACTCAGAGAGAAAGACAGAACACGTGTTCTCTTGTGTGGCTCCTGGACTGCTGTGCAGTGTAAAGAGGAAGAAGGGTGGGTGTAGTCTCAAAGGTGAAAATGGGCTTGAGAGACCGCGGTGACAGGTGAGGAAGCATGGAATGTGGACCCAAGGTCACGTGAGTCACGAAAGAGGATGTACTTACACATTTGTGTCTAGTTTCAAATCTGTCAGTTTCTGTCTTTTGAGGTTTTGGGTTGTTTCTCATGCTGGAGGTTGAAGCTCGACTTTCTAGGTGTGAAGTAACAAGAACTTCTTAGCGTTCCCTAGGAATCTAGTGTTAGTCCTTTGAGGCAATGATGGCAAAGCTGAGCTGTCTTTAATTCCACTGACCACAGGTGTAGCAGGAAGCAGCCACACCCGGTCTGGCACACACCTTTAATCCCAGCACTTGAGAGGCAGAGGCAGGCGGATCTCTGTGAGTTCGAGGCCAGCCTGCTCTATAAGAACTAGTTCCAGGGCAGGGTCCAAAGCTACAGAGAAACCCTTTCTTGAAAAACTAAAAAAAAATTAAAAAAAAATTTACCCGGTCACCCCATTGTAGTGTTATTTAATATGTAAAGTGTATTGAAATTAAATATGGTATTAAATTTAAAATTTTTTCTTCAAATTAGAAATTACCAATTGTTTTATGTCTCAAATAGGGTAGATGTTTAGACATTTGTGCTACCAAAATCTCGGTTCTCCTTAGTCTGAAGTAGCTGGCGTTAGCAGCATTTCTAAACACCAACCTTTCCCTGTTTTATCAAAGTACTATTTCCACACATCCGTGTGTGCAGTTTGTACTCTGCAGGCTGTGGTGTGCCATGGCCGCCTCTCGAATCAACACGGATTTGACCTTTCGTCAGACACCGAATAATATTTAGTGATGTAACTTTATTCACTCGTTTCCTTGACGACGGGTGTGTTAGTGGTTCTCTGGGCTCTTTGCTGCCACAGCAACAGCATCCTTTTGCCAATACCCTTTATTTCTTAGAACTGATGGTCACCGGGGGCGGCTGGGTCAAAGGATATGCAATTTTTTAAATTATCAGACAGAATGTGGACTTTGAAGTTATGTTTTTAAATGGCATTTGGAAGTCAAAATGAGCCTCTGAGAAATAGGCAAGACTTTAATTTTCATTCTTGATGTGGATGTAAATAACACAGGCCATGGGCTTTTCCGTCCTCCCTTCTGTCAAGCCGCTCCATACCCTGGAAATGGGCTCTTCTGTAGATAATACCCTGTTAATCCCTGGACCTTGATTCACTACATCTGAAGGGAAAGTGTACCAACTTCCTAAAACCTAGTCCTGCTAGGATCCCTTCACCCTGGCCGTCTGCACCAGAAGGACACTGACCACCATGTGGTGGCATAAATCAGACTCTGAGCAGAGTCTCTGCTTGTCCACAGATAGTCGTGGGATTTTGAGCAATTCCCAGGAGTTGCTGTAAAGATGAGCCCGTGTTGGTTTTGTACAGCACCCGAAACAGCAAGCACTCCATAGTGAATGTGGGCTGATGAATAAATGAAGCTCACCTTTCTTGCCTTGGGGATCCTCATGTATAAAATGGAGGGGTGGGACTTCTTTCCTTCTCAGGAAGGGCATGCAACCGTTTTAACATCTGTCCTCTTGTCTCCATGCCTCTAGCAGCCCTAGCTGGCCTGCAAGCCAGATGAACTTTATTCCATATTTCTGTCCATAATGATTTCCTGTTGTCTTTCACCCCTACTGCCAGCCGTACAACAGCGGTTGTGGAACTAGGCCGAAAGCTCAATGACTCCCAAATGCTGAGGAGAATATGAAATCCTTGTAATTTGGCTCTGGAAAAATCAGGTTGTGTGTGTATGTGTGTGTATGTTTGTATGAATGTGTGTGTGCGTGCGTGTGTGCATGCATGTGTGTGTGTTTGTGTGTACGTGTGTGTGTGCGTGTGTGCATGCATGTGTGTGTATGTGTGTACGTGTGTGTGTGCGTGTGTGCATGCATGTGTGTTTGTGTGTACGTGTGTGTGTGCGTGCATGTGTGTGTGTTTGTGTGTACGTGTGTGTGCATGCATATGTGTGTGTTTGTGTGTACGTGTGTGTGTGCATGCGTGTGTGCATGCACGTGTGTGTGTTTGTGTGTACGTGTGCGTGCGTGCGTGTACGAGTACATTTGCGCATTGAGTTTCCGTGCTCCCAGCTCTCAGCTCTGCTCTTCTGTGTCATGGAAACTAGGATTAGTTCATTTCTGTTTCCGTAACAAAATGCCTGAGCTGAGCACTTTAAATCATATAGAAGTATACTTCTCACAGTGTTGGAAGCTGTGGCATGCAAGATCAAAACAAATTCATTTAATGTCTGGTGAGGGCCTGGTCTCCTCTTGCAAAGGAACCGTTGAACACAGTGTTCTCACATGGCAAATGGGAAAAGGGCCAAAGGGTCCAATGCTGTGTGAAATCTCTTTTGCAACCTTAATTCATAACTCGTTCATGAGGAAGGAGCTCTGGTGACTTCATCTCCTGAAAGCACAGCCTCTTTGTGCTGTTGCATTGGGGATACATATGTGCAATCAAGTATTTCGGCCACAGGAGGGTGTTTGTGTACTCGCAAGTTGGCAATGAACCAGGATGCACAGAGAGACATGGAGAACTCGGGGTAACAGGATGCTTGTTGTATCAAGTGGAGTAGAGTCAGTGGTGGTGACCAGAGCTGGGGTTCCCTGGGCCCTGGTGGCGTACATGCTCCATCTCTGTTGATGGCTGTGTGAGTGCATGTTCTCGCCTGTGTGACTGCACAGACATCCTCCCACCCATCTGTTTCAGCAATGCAAACCTCACAAGAGGCCTGTGTGCGGCAGTAATGGCAAGACCTACCTCAACCACTGTGAACTTCACAGAGACGCCTGCCTCACTGGATCCAAGATCCAGGTGGATTATGATGGACACTGCAAAGGTAAGGCATGCTGTCATTGCTGAAGGGCAGGGCTTGTGACAGGGGGACAGAGACGGAAACCAGAGCAGTGTGGCCTGGCTGACCACACAACCATTTGGAGATGCTCCTTCCTGACCTTCAGGAGCCTGCTAGGTTTGACCTGGCCGACTGGGGCCTTCCCCTCTGCTTTCTGCTTCCGACCAGGGTCTGCTCTCTGCATCGCCTGCAGCCAGAGAGTAAACTATTGACTGTATCAATAGTCAACAATGGTAAAAATGGTCCTTAAAGGACTTCCACCCCGTTTAGAAAAAGTAGATCAGTTTCTCCTTTTCCTGCTTTTAAAATGTGGGCTTTTCTAGCCTCATAATATGCTTCCCTTGTTTACCTTCTTATCATATTGACCAGTTGGAAAGATGGATTCCCAAGCATGGTTGCTTGTCACCAGGCCTTTTCAAGTGTAGAGCCTGCCCAGCCGTTCCGTCTTTGGCTTTCCCTGGAAAAACATGAAGATTTATCCCAGACACCAGTCTCCTCTCTCCCCTGTACAAAATTAATCTCTATATGAAGTTTTGAAATCTCAGCCCAGTAGGAAGAAATATAAATTTGAAAAGGTAATTCATTGTCTGCAAGCAGGAAGGATCCCAATCCTTAGATCCTACAAGAAAGACAAGGATGTAAGAATTAAGACAGGGTGGGGGCTGGAGAGATGGCTTAGTGGTTAAGCACACTGGCTGTTCTTCCAGAGGACCTGGGTTCAGATCCCAGCACCCACATGGCAGCTAGCAACCAACTGTAACTCCAGTTCCAGGAGATCCAATGCTCTCTTCTGACCTGCAGGTACCAGGCATGCATAACAGTGCACAGACAGATGCAGGCAAAACACCATACACATAAAATAAAAATAAACAAATCTTAATTTAAAAAAAAAATTTAAGGCAAAGTGATGTCAATGTTACAAGACTTCACAGTTTAAAATCCTCAGCATATCCTTTTATCCTTCACTTAGTATTACAAATCTCCTTTCGTCTTGCAGAAAAGAAGTCTGTGAGTCCCTCTGCCAGCCCAAGTAAGTACCTGACCTCGCTTTGGTGTGTGTTCATCTTGGGGAGGAGCCTTATCACAGAGGAAGTGTCTTGTCTTCCGCAGTCCCCGCTGCTGGGCTGCCAGGGTCATCTATGGGGTCAGGACTTTTGATCCAGACCCGGTCTGAGCGCAACACAGCTCAGTAAAACCATGAGACTGCATTTTTTAAACCTTCGTTTGTTTTAGTGTCTGCCAATCAAAGCAGCTGTTTGGGTCTAAATGTTGGCTGTTCTGAATTTTTGCTAAGTGGTAAGTCCTGTAGGGACAGCAAGTGAGCCCTTCTTTTGGGGCCTTGTAAGACACGCTCATGTCGTGGGCCCAGAGAAATCAGAAGACACGGCTACTTTTGTAAGAGGACAGTAGGAAATGCCAGCACGGCAACTGTCGTTGCTTCCTATCAAGATGCATCAAAATCTCAACGTGGCTTCTAGGCCCGGACCTCACAGTGATCCTGCAGGTCTCACTGTGGTTGCCTTAGAGCGACGATTTAAAGGCTCATGGGATTGAGTCAGCTCCTAAATCGCGCAGCTAGGAAGGACAGACTGGGAAATGCCCATATGCTCACCCCTGGCCCTGTGCCCTCGCCAGGTCCTAGCATATGCTGTCCTCCAGGGATTTCCTTTGGCCGGAGCCGTCCTCCCTGCTTCCCTACCCTGACTCCCGAACAGCGGCCCAGAGCAGGGCTGAGGCGTGGCCCGTCCTTGTTTTCTCTTGTTTATAACAACGGATATTGGGAGAATATTTTGAAAGGCCCAGTCAGTGAGAAAGGGAGGATATGAACAATCCAGCAGCATAAATAACGCACGTTTTCATTTATTGATTTGTTAGGACGTTCAGCTCATCTCAGAACCAAGCGAACTACTTTAGATTTTTTCCCCCATGTCCCATAACGTTCATAAAAACGTCCTTTATTTTTTTCTTCCGTATTTTTTCTTAAATAACAATTCCTCTGTTTCACCATAGTTTCAAGTTTCTAGTCCAGTGCTTCTCAACCTTCCTAATGCTGTGACCCTTTAATACAGTCCCTCATGTTGTGCTGGCCCCCAACCATGTAATTCATTTTGTTGCTACTTTGTTACTGTGATTTTGCTACTGTTATGTAGCAAGATACATTGTAATGTCAATATCTGTTATGCAGGATATCTGATGTGCAACCCCAAGGGGGTTGAGGTCCGTAGGTTGGGAACCACTGTTCTAACCTTTATTGATGTTTTACATACATGAGCGTGACTACTGGGGTAGACACATTTCTGTACTCTGGGTGTGATAAGGGAAGACTGGATCGGATGACACATTCAGAACTGAGTGGCACTCTGGGCAGTGGGTGCTGATGACCCCAGGGTTCTCTGCCTCACCCCCACCTCACGCTCCTCCCCCCATAGTTGTCTGCTATCAAGCTAACCGCGATGAGCTCCGGCGTCGCATCATCCAATGGCTGGAGGCTGAGATCATTCCAGATGGCTGGTTCTCGAAAGGCAGCAACTACAGTGAGATCCTGGACAAGTACTTTAAGGTACCCAGCATTGGGGTCAACCAGCCATGTTCAGTCCTGGAGAAAGCGGGATTTCCTCCTCCCCTTTTGTGGCTCTCAGGAGACCCTAAGTGCGCCCTTATCACCAGGTCTTATTATGGAGTTGTGAAAGTTGTCTAGCGACCTCCTTGACCGGTGAGTGGGCAGCAGATGACCTTTGGGATCCATGCATGTGCTGTTCCTCTTGAGCATTTAAAACCACCAAAGGCTCGAGGAGCTGCCATGGGAAACATGGCCAGGCTTTCTCCTGCCCTGTGTAACTCTTCGGAAGCTGGTACAGAGAGCTTTCTGGTACACCAGACGCACTTTGGCCATTCACAGTGCTTCAGCTGAGAAGAGTCAAGGAACACGTGGGCCTGGAGATTGTTTCAGGATCCAAGTACTGCTGTTGTCTACCATGTTAGTAGAAGAGAGAGACGGAGTTCCATGTGGAGACCCAGAAGGAAGTGCTTTTGAAGGGGAATGAGTGAGGGGATAAATCATCAGCAGTGGGTATTGGGATCACATGAGGATCATTCCAGAACCTTGAGAGTCATTGGGAGAAGTAGTTAATGGGCATTCTCCTCGCTAACTGACGAGAACATAGACCCGCACCCACGGTATTCCAGACACACAAACCACACACACCCGTCCCAGACTCTTCTTACACTCAGCCACACATTCAGGTACCACATTCCCATGGGAGCACCAAGCCCTGTGCTTTCAAGATGCTCATATAAGGTCAGTGCCTTGGATGCTCACTCCAGGGCATGCTCACAAAGTCTGCTGTCCCAACAGCTAGCCAGCCATGCAAGGAACTTCCCGGGAGCTCTCGGGCCACACAAATACATTTAACACCATCCTAATCTGGATTCTTTAGCTGGCATTGTGGATACCCACAGATGAAGAGATGCTGGGCTGAAATGAGTTTTTGATTATTTAAGGCATCTCCTGTATTATTCTTATTAGATAGAAGTTTTTTTCCCACTACGGCAGAGATTTAAACTCTGGGATTCTAGTTTTCATCTTACACTGGAGAGAAAACATGGCTCTTCCCACTCGGAAGTGTCTCAGCCATTCTCATGTGACAGCACTGAAGATGTGGGTGAGTCCTCTTCTAGAGAAAACGCCATCACTTTGCTGAGCAGGGGAACAGACAGGAGCAGGAAGAAACATAAAATGACTCGGGCCTGGCTGGCCACCAAGGCTGATGACCTGCACTCAGTACCCAGGACCCACAGGGCAGAAGAAAACTAACTCTTGGAAATTATCCTTTGCCCTCCACACACATGTTATGGCATGACACCCCCACATACACACACCTACATACACAACAAATAAATATAATTTTAAATTTTTTAAAGAAAATGGTTTTTTTCCAAGCATTTACTGTATCCCGTCCTTACAGCATGGAGCTGTTGGCCACAGGACACTAATTCCAAAGGGCCACTTGGGATCTTGTAACCATTTGTAGATGGCAGATGGCCTCAGGCACTTATGATACCTCTATTAAATTTTATTGCCAAGTACCCAGGCCACTGTACCACTCAACACATCTCCTTGTCCCCAGGCAGTAACAACCTTACAGGCTCCTAGCAAAAAGAAGGAAGGAAGGAAGGAAGGAAGGAAGGAAGGAAGGAAGGCCACTTGGGAAAAGAGCTTTTTCTGGAGCTATATCCCATCTCAGAAAGCTTCCTCCCAGCTTACAAACACAAAGCTCCTCTTCCAAGACATCTAAGGGAGAAGCTGTCCCACCAGGCCTGATGCTGTCCCACCAGGCCCATAGCTGCTGTAGGTGAGAGAGCCAATGTCTCAGACTTCTCTGTGCCAGAGACGTGTTCTCCAGCCCAGCTGGCTTTCCTCACATGCTGAATGGCGAATCCAATCAATTCAAGTAAGGCCCACCCTGCCTTTCCTGTCCCAATGATCCAGTCACCATTTCTTTGATGAACTCCATACAGAATAGAAGGGGAGCCTGGTAGGGAGACCCTTTCATACCAGTCTGTTCATACCTTGTGACACTAGACGGGAGACTCTTAGGGGGCGGGACCTCTGGAGCCAGCCTTCTTCCCTCCCTGACCCCAGTGCCGTATGCCCATTGCTCCGGCTGCTTTACATGAGCGAATGCCTGGTTCAACCCCATCTCCTCTGAACACAGTTGACTTGCAAATAAAATAATATCTGTCTCCAGATATTCCTCTTCCTTCCTTCTAAAGCCACACAATCAAAACTGAACTCAGAAACAGAGCTACAGATAAGCATGCAGATGTAGCAAGCCTTGGTGGAGGGTTAGTTGAATCAGCTATGCTGGTTCTGGCCAGAGATTGAGATGCCACTGGGCATAACGCTATTTCTAGGCAGGTACCAGACTTAAGGGATGAGACTGAAAGGAGCTGGGATGCTCCCTTTTTCAGGCCTGCATCCTGGTTCCTTGATAGTTAAAGTGTACACCCGAAGCACTGACTTTTGAGAGCCAGCTGGACTGTCCAGAGTGCCCAGGCAGTGGCTGTGTACCTACTACAGGACCCTTTCTTTCCCTCTGTTGCTTCTGTCATGAGACAGGGGACGTGATTTGCTCTAGTTGTACTCAGAAACATTCTAGAGTTGTCGGAATGCTCCCTCTCTGATCAAGCTTACTGAATTGTGCACATTTAATTAGTCAAAAAACTCACAAGTGGAATTATGGGGAGATTTCCTCAGGGCAAGGGTATGGTGAGTACATAAAAAATGTCTCAGACCTGTTCCTGGAACTCTCAGGACAAGAGTGACAAACAGGTCCTAAGCGAAGATGTGTCCTCTTGTGTTAGTTACCCTCCCTGTATATGCCATGACACGTGGCAGTCCCGAGAGGAGACAGTTGGCTTCGTTTCTCCCCCTGCCCAGGAGTCTAGACAGACATTTCTTCCAGACTCTTCTTCACAGTGTAAGGAGCCAACTTGAAAGTAGCAGGATCCCATACTGAAAGAAACCCCCTGATGGCTTCTGTTCGGGCACTTTTACTTGCTCACCTTGAGTACCACTTCCTAGTTTGGGTGCCCACTGATCTGAGCTACTAATTCCTACTGTAGTTCCTTGTGGCTAGTTGAGGACAGGGTTGGAGTGTATTAAGAATAAGCTGAGCTGAGCAGTTAGGCCAGGGGATACACCATAAAACTAGGGCTTTCTAAACTCTCCTGAGAGATCTCTTCATCTCCCTCTAGAACTTTGATAACGGTGACTCTCGCCTGGACTCCAGCGAATTCCTGAAATTCGTGGAGCAGAATGAAACAGCCATCAACATCACCACTTATGCTGATCAGGAGAATAACAAGCTGCTCAGGTGGGGATTGAGGGCCTGGCCATAACCCAGGGAAGGGTGCAGGGGGGCAGGGGTTCGAACCTCTTCCGCCAGCAGAGGAGCTGCCAGTGCCGGTGTGAAAGAAACAGAAAAGTAGGATTTCTCTCCTGATCTAGTCTGGGGACGTTATAGAACTGAGATATCCAACAACATTGGTATCCGGTCAATCAGTTATTGTTTGGGGTCAGAACTTGCAAGGAGAGAAGACTGTCATTTTGGAACACATTGTCAAGGGCATACCAATTCCACGTTTCTTCCGAGTGTGGCAACTGATTCTGCCATTGATCTTCTGACGGAACCGTATTAATGTAGTCTCTAATTGTGAACTAAAATCATTTCATCCCCAGTATTTAAAATGGCCAGTGCTGTTCCATTTAGCATGCCCTAATTGTTATGAGTGTATGTCCTTCTTTTCGTATTAGCTTAGAATAAATATTAATAAACAAAGAAGTTTCTGGCATGGTACTAGTACATTGGGAAGGTTGCCTCTCTTTTGTCCAAAACAAGTTCAAAGTGCAGCTTCTTTGAATCTTTCTAACCATAGTCCTGGACCTTAAGGAATAGATAGCCACTCATATTTTGGTAACCTGGATTTTGATCATTTGATAATTTCGATGTTTGACCCTCAAAACATTCCAGTTGGGGAAGGACTTTTCTCCCTACCTTTAGAGGTGGGAACATAAACTCAGAAAGATTGAGTTTATGTTCAGGGACATTTGAGTAGGAAGTGGCTGAGTCCCAGGGCCCAAGTCTTAGTCAGCCGAGGGGGTGATGGAGCCAAGGTTCTATAAAACTTCTAAAACAACTCCTTTTAGAACAGTGATGGTGGTGATGCTGGCTTGAATTTCATTTTCTTTCAAGTCCTGTGTTCCTTTTCACGCCATCTGTCATCTGTCTTCTGCTTTGGTTTTACGACTGGTTGAAGTGACAGTCGTACCATGGGAAAAGCCTCTGTGATGTGAGATCCAGTCAAATAAGCTAAAGGTCGGGTAACTGGGTGATGGCGTGACAGACAGGTCAAGGAAGAGAGAAGTGTTTTCAGTGAGCAGCCATCTCGCCTGGGGCTCCAGGTTCTGTGAGCCTTGTGCTTGCTTCCTTTCCTAGGGAAGAAGCCGCGGCCTTGTGGATGACATTTCCCTTGTGTTGTGTTTCAGAGGACTCTGCGTCGATGCTCTCATTGAGCTGTCTGATGAGGACGCTGACTGGAAACTCAACTTCCAGGAGTTCCTCAAGTGCCTCAACCCGTCCTTCAACCCTCCTGAGAAGAGTATGCCTGAGCCAGAAACCGAGTGTTGGTGGGGCTGGGAGGGTTACAGGGAAAGAAAGGTGCAGCCAGAACTAACTGGTACCCAGATAACTAGCCCCCATGCATGGTACTGGGCTGTGCATCCTGTTGTCTCCATGATGGGGGTAAGGTCATGAGTTTATGGAGCATTTGCCATGAGAGACAAGGCAGTCCTTATCTGGGAAGGGGACCGTGTAGGTGCTCAGCCTGTACCAAAGACACCACTCCGTTTCACCCGCGTGTCCCAACTGCTGCCTTTATTTCTGGCCCAACAGAGTGTGCCCTTGAGGATGAAACCTACGCAGACGGAGCTGAGACCGAGGTAGACTGTAACCGCTGTGTCTGCTCCTGTGGACACTGGGTCTGCACCGCAATGACCTGCGATGGTGAGCCGTACTTAGGGCAAAAGGGGGGACCTGGGTGAGAGAAGGTGGCATGGGTATGGTAGGGAAAAGGAGCTGGACGTAAGAGGTAGGCCCACAGCCCCGCTGAGGAGCACTGTTGGTGGATCATGTGTTCCAGGGTCATCAAATGAGAGAGAATGGTGACCAATAAATGTCGATATGAGACTAAAATAATCATCATGAAAGAAAAACGTGTGCCAGCACTATCTATCCCACCACAGTCTTTGCAAATTAACCAACTTAATCCTTCGGATACTGTATAGAAAAGAGTCAGGTGGTCAGAAGTCAAAATGACTTAATTTGCCATACCATGCAGGAAAAAAAGTAAATGAAAAATGTAAAAAAAAAAATAAATTTAAAAAATGAAAAATTAAAATCATGGAGACAGGGGTAAAATGGGTTGGGGACATATAGGTGTCAGAGTTTGGGAGGCAGAACAGAGGTCAAAGGGTATGTTGGAACCACCCGTGTCCCATCAGAGACCTAAGCTGCAGGGATGCCTACGATCAAGAGGAAACTTACATCAAAGTCAGACCAAAGCAAAGAGCCAGATGAAAGAGAATCAGAGAAGGGTATTAAAGCCGGTCCAGAACTCAGCCACACCGAGTGTGAAAAGAAATGTCAGTTAAAACCAGACTTAAAGTTACACCTGCACGAATGACCCTGAGGTTTTAGTTTAAGAAGTTAACTGAGGCAAGAAAAAGTTGGTACTTAAAATTATGCGCAGAGGGATTGAGTGTGAGAGACACTGAGAGACAGCAACCAAAGACCCACGGAACACTCTAGCCAGGGAGCCCAGACGGGTATAGGTGGGAGCCAGTGTTATTCTAGGTCCAAGTCTGCTTCAGTGTGAGAGAATAGATCCTAACCTAACCATAGAAACAGATGAGAAAGCAGAAGAGACTGTTAGAGTCAAGAATTTACTGATAGCCAGACACACATACACAGTAGCTACGGAAACCATCAGTGGACATCTTTAAACAGGCACCCAGCCTGCCTCAACCAGGAAGCACCCCCAGTTTGTCTCCAACTCCCTTCCATATATCTTAACTGCTCTCGTTCTCTCTTTGGAAAGAATTCCTCCTCCATTTCTAGAATCTGTGCAGGAGGAGTAAGTGCACTGACTTAGGGAACCCTAAACACAAACATTGGTAATAAGCCAATCACCGTACATCAGACAGCATACCACTCCCATGAGCCTTTGTCAGTTTCCGTGGTCACGCTGTGAACTGCACACCCTCCTTGCAGAGAGGTCTATGGGACCTCAACATGTCTTGGTGTACAGGCTGTGACGTAAGAGGAAATTGAAGAGGCATTTTCAGGCCCATATCTGAAAATGAGCAATATCATCTTAGATCACACATCTCAAAGGCACAAACAAACAGGGGCATTGAGATAACACCAGGAAAGGGCCAGGGTCACAAGAACTGGCTGTGAGGGACAGACAGATGCCAGTGTCTGTTGTTTCCTAAGGATAAATGTTGTGTTCAGCAAATGGATTTCCGGGCACTCTCCCAAACCTTCTAGATTGTAATCTACAAAGCAAATATCTTGGGGACCTGGGTCAGGTTTTTGGCTTTTTGCTTGGTTGTTTGTGAGTTTTATTGTTTCATTTTGGTTTTTTTTGGTTGGAATGTTTTGGTTTTTTGTTTTGTTTTGTTACTATTTTTTTTTCTTTGTACTTAAGAAATGTTTGTTCCATGTCATAGTTATCAACCCTGAGTGTACAGAACCTTCCAAAAGGCAAAAAACTTTGGGACCCAGTTACCTCCCACCCCAATCAATTACATCAAAATGTCTACAGTTGAAAGCCAGGCAATTTAAATGTATTTGTTTGTTTTCCAGTTCTGAGGGGTTGAAAATGGGGGTGGGGGCGCGATTTGCATGCTAGGCAAACCCTCTGCCGATGACCTACATCATGGGTCAGAAATTGCATTTGCAAATGTTCTCTGGGACTTTGTGAGGGTGTGGGAACAGTGATTGCCCCAGGGGTGTTTCCTGAGTCAGGACCCGAGTTGTCTCCATTGCTGTTCTATAGGACCAGCCTGTCTTGTGGGTGTAAGTTAAAGAGAATAGCAGGAATGGAAGCCACAGAATTAGGAGAGGTGGCTTATTTGTATGACACTGGATGCCTTACTGCTCAGAGCGAGGTGGGCAGTTCAGCTCTCCTCCGAGAGTCTGTTAGGTAGAGTCCTCCCTGACTTACCACAGCCCCCACAGCTCTGAACTTTGATTTCCATACAGGAAAGAATCAGAAGGGGACCCAGACCCAGACAGAGGAGCAGAAGACCAGATATGTCCAGGAAATCCAGAAGCACCAGGTGAGCAGCCATGGTGCCTGTTCAAAAGCTGCTCTTTCTTTCGGGCTCTTAATGCCACTCCTTAACAGAGCCCCGCGAAATGAGAGAAACACATGTCGTTTACTACAGTAGATCCCAAAGGATGTTACCTCACCTGTACTACCAAACTGTGATATAGACCGTACCCTGAAGGAGTTGCTGTAGGTGAGAGGGGCTGGGGTATCTCTCCAAACCTTCCACCAGCTGTCATCTGAGAGCTGCTACCAGGAAACAATGTTTAGCATGTCCATCCTCCAGCTTGTGTGGGTAGACAGGCAGAGAAAGCCCCGAGGCAGAGATGCAGGTGCAGGCCCCGAGAAGGCAGCTGGACATGTAGTACCAGCCGGGCCTGCTGGGCGCCAGCCACTGTTGTCAGCAGTTTCCTAGGGCACTTCTGAAACTGAAATCGAATTCCCATGTCGTATAATTTACCCCTTTAAAATATGCAGTTATGCCAGGGAGTGACTGTCAGTTTGTCCCTAAGATTGTCAGCCATTCCCCACAGTCTATTTCCGAAGTGTTTTAACCCCCCCCCCCAAAAAAAAACCCATGCCCACTAGAAACAACTCTTTTCTTCCTTTCCCCCTGTCCCTGGCAATTGCTAACCTATTTTCTGACGCTGTAAATGGGCCTGATCTGGGCAGGTCATCTAGCACGCTCTTTTCCTCCTGATTTCTTGTACTTAGCATGGTGCTTCTCAGGTTCATGCTTGCAGCATGGATCTACTTCGTTCCTCTTATGTGAGTGCCGTTCCACATGCATGGTGTCCTGTGTATGTATCCAGTAGCTGACGAATATTTAGGTGGCTTCTGGCTCTGATGAATGATGCTGCTGTGAGCTTGACTGTATAAGTTCCTGTGGACATGGTTTCACTCCCTATATATTTAGGATTAGAATTCTGGTCATAAAATAACCCTAAGGGGTTGCCAAACTGCTTTGCAAACTCCGTTCATTGTATGTCCTCCCCAACAGGTAGCCATTTTCTTCACATCCTTACCAACATTTGTTACTAGTATTCTTTATTTCGTCTGACCTACTGGATGCATAGTGGCATCTCGTTGTGTTTTTATTTGCATTCTTCCAATGCCTAATGTTGTGTCCTTATTGCTGTCTGCACATCTTCTTTGGAGGAATGTGTCAGGCACCGTTGTAAAAGCTGGGACAGTATTGCCCTTGTGTTACAGTTGAAGACGCTAAGGTGTAGATTTCAAAATACTCCCAAGGACACTAGAAAAGTTGGACAAGCCAAATTCAAGCCCACACAGTCTGCCTCTGGGCTTATTGTTTATGTCATTTTTGTGGGACGTGGTATCCCTTTTAGTATCCTTTAATCTGGGACAACAAAATCGGATTTGCTTATTTTATAAGATGTTCTTATAGGGTCAGCTCTTAAAGTCAGTAAACTGTTTGACCGTGCACAAATTGGACATAGCTTTGTGTTGTTTATCACACAAAGAGGAGCTGTACAAGTAAGTAACTAAAGTCGCATAATCGTGTGACTATTGATGCTACGGAAAGTCTGGGGCCCCGGATAAATGCCATTAACTTCTTAATATTTGCATAATGATTATTTCTTCCTCCATCTCAAAGGAAACAGCTGAAAAGACCAAGAAGGTAAACACCAAAGAAATCTAACAAGAAGCACACAGCGCCGTGTCTGGAGCCCAGCGCCTCCTCTTCAGCGCTGAGTCCGGTACATACGAGCGTCTGCTGAGATCACCAAACCACCAGTATTTGCTTGTCTGGCAATGAATATTATTTCGTTTGTTTTGCAATGAAGGAAATGAGGGTGCTTGCTAGTGAGGGAAGGCCATGACCTTCATTTCTAGGAGTGCTTGAAGAGAAACTAAAGGGGGCTGTGGGGCCGGAGGCGAGTAAGGCAACTGCATCAGACTGGCAGAGGAGCAGGCGCGGGTCTGAAGGAACCCTTCCTGGGGTCACAGCAGCTGAGCGGAGGCCACAGGGAAAGCATGTGATGTTGTGGGGAGGACTGAGCTGGCTCTGCTGGAGGAAGGGAGGAGCCTTGCTGCCCCGACCCTGTCACCACTGTCGCATGCAGCATGTCTTCTGCCCCTCTTGGTCCCAACAATCACCTGAATACACAGCCACCCCACTAGTTACCTGTGCCCCTCAGATTTGGATGGAGTTTCCAGGAGGTTGTGTTTAAATGATGCAGATACTTAGTGTACTTCAAGCGCCATGGAGACCTAACCAAAATTTTAAAATACATTTTTTTTTACCAAAGGTGCTATTTCTCTGTAAAAGACTTTTTTTTTTGCAAGCTGACTTCATTCCTCAATTATTATCATTATATTATTATTGTCATTTTTTAGTATCTTTTTTTTGACTAGATATTAAGCTTTCGTAATTATTTTTTTCAGTAGTCCTACTGTTTCAAAGGTGAAAGGGGGTGGGGAGCTTTTCTTGGTACAGGGAACTCTGTAGCATAAATGGCCCTTTCCCCTGCCACACACTAGACTAGATGCACCCCAGAGCTGCACCGCCCACCCCGGGCTTCCAGAAGGTCTAAGCTACGTGCCAAGAAGCATGAGATCGATGCCTCAGACAGAAGCCATAGGACGAAGCATCTTCATAGACAGTTGACAAGATCCTTTCAGGTAGCTGGGGTGAGGAATTCATGGGTCAGTCTGCCCAGGAAGAGAGTGTGAAGGAAAACCCCCCACCCTTCTCCACATGGTGCACGTGAGTGCGGTCTCTAGTTGAAGTCCGAGATTTCCCCATACAGATGAAGGCAGAAGTTTTCAGAGTTGAAAACAGTTGAAAATGAGGACTGAATCTTAGCACAGGGGAAGGTGGGGGAGCGACACACGACTCAGTTATTGCAAGTCCATTTTTTCTTTGAACCTCTGAATCTTTAAAAATCCCCTATTACCATGTTTCATGTGCACTTAACACCCCCCCCCGCAAAAAAAAAATGAGACCCTTATCTCATTTGCAAAACTCACTATAGACCCTGCAGATGAAGTATTGAGGTTTTCCTGCACAGGCAACTGCAGAAAATCGGGATGGAAGTGGAATTCCTCCTGGATAGTTTCCCTGCACTCTTTCAAAAGGAGACGACTCTTTGTTGCCGAGGGTTCTGAGCTTTTAAGTACCATCCCATTTAAAAACTCTGTGAACTCCTGGTGCAGTCCAGATTTCAACCCCTCTCCAAGTGCCTTGGAGAACTCACAGCAGCAGCAGCATGCCTTAACCAAAAGTTTTGCCAGTTCTTGGACGTGCTGGGGGAGGGCAGGATTATCAGTTTGCTGAAGGCAAGCAGCTATAGTACCAGTCATCTTTAGCACAGTGCTTTCAACCTTGACTATCCCACCCCGAACACTGAATACCCAAGGGCAAGCCCACGTTCCTCTTGAGTCCGCTACTTCTGTATAAATAAGGTGGCTGTTGTCTACACACAATAGATTATGTGGTGCCTAAACCATTCATGAAAAGCTGCTAAGTAGCCTAGTTTGGGGAGCCTTAGGTAGAGCTTGGCATGGGATCAACAAGCAAGATTGCATCCAGTTTGGTTCTTACAGTCCTCCAGAAGCCTGTAGGCCACGGCTGCAAGCTCCTTGGGCTTTGTGTGTGTGTCTTTAATATTCAGAGTCTCTTAAAGATTCAGAGCCCAGGAAGGCCTTCCCATATACAGATGCCAGGACCATGGATGTTACTGTCAGTCTTGGGAAAGCAGGCTCCTCCGTCTACAGCCGAGTCCATGTGAACAGTCTGAATTCCTTCGTTATACCCATGATCTAAATGTTAAACTTCAGGAAACAGTTTCAACAGCTTTCTGGTACCCGTGTGATTATGAAAACGCGTTTGAATTTAGTGTGCTTCCATAGTTTCATTGAACTTGTTTTTGTAATTTCTGATTTTTGTTACTATTAATAAATAAAACTAAAATCATAGTTTTGTTGGTTCTCTTTATCTCCAATGAAGGCCAAATGAAATTATGAGAGCATTTACCTTTTACCACATAAAAGTAGGTGAGAAAAAAAAAAAAAAGTAGGTGAGCCTTGGTGGGGGTGATATTAATAAATGATTATTTCCTTCTATTTAATGCTCCACGTTGGGCCACCATACGTGGCAGCAATAATTTATTCTCATCAGCTTGACCATTTATGAGTTTCCGCAATAACTCCTGCCCATAACTTACCAAGGCTGACAGCAGCAAAAAAACTGTGGCTGTGAAGAAAAGTCTAGAAGGCAGTTTAACAGTCCCATCACAGCTGCCGAGAGCAATGGCAGTAGCTTCCGCCATTGGGATCTTCCGCCTCCCCCGGCTCTGGCTTGCAGTACCAAACGTGAGTCCCTGCCTGTGGCATGGGAAGGTAGTTGGTTGCACCAGTGGGCACATCTTGCCCGGAAGATGGTAGTGCAGCGTGCTAGCCCGTAGCTACAAAGTATTATGTGTAACACATCTCCCCAACAGCATTTCTGTAAGATGCTTAAAGACAGCAATCCTTGCCGGGCGGTGGTGGCGCACGCCTTTAATCCCAGCACTCGGGAGGCAGAGGCAGGCGGATCTCTGTGAGTTCGAGGCCAGCCTAGTCTACAAGAGCTAGTTCCAGGACAGGAACCAAAAGCTACGAAGAAACCCTGTCTCGAAAAAAAAAAAAGACAGCAATCCTTTATTTATTTATTTATTTATTAAGGATTTCTTTCTCCTCCCCTCCACCACCTCCCATTTCCCTCCCCCTACCCCGATCAAGTCTCCCTCCCCCGATCAAGTCTCCCTCCCTCATCAGCTCGAAGAGCTATCAGGGTTCCCTGCCCTGTGGGAAGTCCAAGGACCACCCACCTCCATCCAGGTCTAGTAAGGTGAGCGTCCAAACTGCCTAGGCTCCCACAAAGCCAGTACGTGCAGTAGGATCAAAAACCCATTGCCATTGTTCTTGAGTTCTCAGTATTCCTCATTGTCCGCTATATTCAGCGAGTCCGGTTGTATCCCATGCTTTTTCAGACCCAGGCCAGCTGGCCTTGGTGAGTTCCCGATAGAACATCCCCATTGTCTCAGTGTATGGGTGTACCGCTCGCTGTCCTGAGTTCCTTGCTCGTGCTCCCTGTCCTTCTGCTCCTGATTTGGACCTTGAGATTTCTGTCCAGTGCTCCAATGTGGGTCTCTGTCTCTGTCTCCTTTCATCGCCTGATGAAGGTTAATATTCAGGAGGATGCCTATATGTTTTTCTTTGGATTCACCTTCTTATTTAGCTTCTCTAGGATCACGAATTATAAGCTCAATGACCTTTATTTATGGCTAAAAACCAAATATGAGTGAGTACATCCCATGTTCCTCTTTTTGGGTCTGGCTTACCTCACTCAGGATAGTGTTTTCTATTTCCATCCATCGATTTGTATGCAAAATTCAAGAAGTCCTTGTTTTTTACTGCTAAAGACAGCAATTCTATAAGGAAACATTCTTAAAAGGATTGGAGAGAATCCTCTACTGTCCATTTCAAGCAAGCGTCAGTTGGCCTTGGGATTGAGCAGCTAAAGGAAGGTAGTTTTGTCTGACTCAGTTAAGGAGAGTTGGCAGATTGGAATCTGCTTCAAGAGAGAGCAAGAGCTTGAGAAGAGTATACAAGCTGAACACAGCTCCAGCCATTTGGCTTCTGCCCTAATCAGGGTTACTCCTGCTATGATGGAACACCATGACCGAAAGCAACTTGGGAAGGAAAGAGTTTGTTTGACTCATACTTTCATATAAAAGTTCAAAAGTGAGGGCAGGAAACCGGAGGCAGGAGCTGATGCAGAGGCCATGGCAGGGTGCAACTTACTGGCTTTCTCGTATCTTGCTCAGCCTAATTTCTTAGGGAACCCAACACCACCAACCCAGGGACAACACCACCCACAATGAGCTGGCCCCTACCCCATCAATCACGAATTAAAAAATGCCCCTTATAGGCTTGCCTACAGCCCAATCTTAGGGAGGCATTTCCTCAACTGAGACTCCTTTCTCTGACGACTCTACCTCATGTCAAGTTAACATAAAACTAGCCAGCATAGCTTCCCAGAAGTGTCATCTGAAAGGTAATCCAGCTAGTTCTGGTGACGAGAGACAGGCAGTTACACCCTCAGGACCTGGCATGAGATGTAATGAGTCTTTCTCTGTCCCTCCAGCTCCCAAATAATGACACAGAGACTTCTTATTAATTACGAAAGCTCAGCCTATAGCTTAGGCTTGTTTCTCACTAGCTCTTATAACTTCAGTTAGCCCATCTATATTAATTAAGCCACATTCTGCCATGTTCTCATGGCTGTTACCTCTCCTGCACATCCTGCTTCTTCTGTGTCTCCTAGTCCCTCCACCTTTCTTCCCAGAGTCATCTGTGTCCCCAAAAGTTCTGCCTACCCCCTTTCTGTCTAGCTATTGGCCATTCAGTTCTTTCCTAAACCAATCAGAATGTGCCCTGACAAAGATACATCTTCACAGCGTAAACAAATATTCCACAGCAGTGAGTCTTAAATCTAGCAGCAGGTTTTAGTGAGATGGATTCCTCTGGCGGACAGGTAGATGGAATTCCCAGCCAGTTTGTCACTGTATGTTTTGCCAGGCAGTGGCCAGATGCCATCTTTTGAAGGATCTTATTTAGAATTGAGATAGTCTGTGGGCTCAGAACTCAGCATAGCGCAGCCCTGGGCTGAGAGACAGACCTGGGAGGCAACTGTGGAGAGAAGGAAGGCCGGATCCTGACAGGCAGAAAAGTGTAGACTCTAGAAGGCTCAGCTCTGACAATGGGATACAAAACCCTGCCATCTGTGGCTAGGAGCAGATCTTATCCATTTAGAGTAACATTAGAGTTTAATAGCCCCTAGGCTGAGGTCAGCAGGATGGATCAAGCTCTAGGGCCACCTATTGCTATACTGCTGTAGAGCCCAAGGTCTATGAAGTGTATCTTTCTAGTAGGACAATTAATATTTAGGAGGACTTTAAAATATAAAGAGAAGGCCTGTGCTGCCTCGGGGCTCAGTTGCTTACCACAGTCCCAATACAGTTTGCCCCACAGTGACAGGTACAGTCTGGAGAGACTTGGGAGGGTGGGAGCGCCTGCAACAGTCAACAGGCTGCCAGGTGAAGTGAGGCCAGCAGAGGCCCCTGGTAGAAAAAGAAGAGAAGCTTTTCAATGAAGACAGCTTGAGCTGATACTGGACACTTGCCCAATGTAGTCACAGCAACAGCATAAACCACAGGAAAATAAGAGACCCCCCAAGTTCAGCTGAGAGTCCCCACCTGCCCATGCAGGAAATGTAGTCTCCAATTTCTGAGCAAC